GCCCCCCCCCCCCCTTTTTTTTTTTTAAATGTCATTCAGCTAGTAAAGTTTTTTCTGCCACAAAAAAATAGATGATAATAAATACTATTTATGCCTTGAGACATAACCGAGCTCCTTATTGTAGTGGTATTTGTGTCTAATTTTTCCTGTTAAACTTCAGTTTTGATCATTAAGATTTTCAACTTGTTAAGGTACACAATGTGCATAGTATGTGGACACAACCAGGCTTTGTATGCCCTACCAAGCTCTTTAATGTAGTGGATTTGTGTCCATTTTTTTTATTTTAAACTTCATTTTTGATCATTAAGGTTTTCAACTTGTTAAGGTACACGATGTGCATAATAGTTGTTCCCTCATGTTTCTTCTTTTCAAATGTCAGTCACACAACCTACTACATGTAAACTAGAGCGAAGTTTTTGCTGCCAAACAGTGTTTTCAAAGGCGCGCGCCTCATTGCACCTCATGCACCTTGCGATGGGCGGCGGCGGCGAAGCGCCCTACATCTGATGCAGCAGTGCCTTTTGTGCCTAGCATACATCCTGACTTTGCATGGTACATGTAGTATATATCCTCATATAGTTTTTTTTGTTAACATTTCAATAGTCTTGATACTCGAAAATCCATATCCCAAAAAGCAAAATAAATCCATTAGGCCTTTTTAGTAGCCTTCAATTGAGGATCATTACTAATCCTTTGCGTGGATATTAGTCTTGACTTGACATTTGATTTGAAAATTTATGAATTTTGATACTATGTTGGGTGTTAGCATTAGAAATTAAGGCCTTATATTGTGAGTTCATAGTAAGATACTATTTATTTTGACATATTTTTTATGTGAATTCCTAAACTTGTTCTTTTGTGCTTGATTATATATGTTGAAAAATTATGTGTGCGGTGTGCGCCTCACATCACTCGGGTGCGTGCATCGCGTTGCACCTTGTGCATTTGCGCGTAAAGATGCTTTGCGCCTCGCATTGCGCCTCACGCATCGACAACACTGGCCACTAAAGAAAAATAAACCATAATAATAGCACTAGGATGATGATGCATTGGTGCGCTTGAACTCATGTGTTGGTTTTTTGGTTGTCAAACGTATTATGCAAATAAAAATTGTTACTTGAAGTCAGAATATTTGTTCTTTTCTCTACATTTGTGTGTGTTTCCATCCTTTTATTTCCGGCCTATGGAAGGTTCTTCATACGGTTTCAAAGAGAAGATAGAAAAGTTGATTAAAAACTATGTGCATAGTTGTTGTTTTAAGATATCATGCAAGTTTAAACTGTAACTTATCAGGTATGGTAGTGATTATCAGCGAGACAGAGATTATAGAAGGCGAAGTCGTAGTCGAAGCAGAGGAAGGTATGACCGTGACAGGTACCGCGAGAGAGATACGGATAGGGACCATCGCCATAGAAGTAGAAGCCGAAGCATGAGCCCTGATTATTATAGGGGCCGTGGCAGAGGCAAGTATGATGATGAGCGAAGGAGGAGCAGGAGCCGCTCCTTTGACAGGTAATTCAGCGATATTTCTATCAACACAGTGAGATTTCCCAAACTGTGGCATGTTGTCTAATTTTGGTTGCTCTACAGTATATCGCCTGTTCGACATAGCCTCAGTCCTCGAAGAAGCTTATCTCCTCGTAGGACTCCTCGAAGAAGCTTATCTCCTCGTAGGACCCCTCCTTCACGTGATCAAAGAAGCCCTGCGAAGCACAGCCCTGCTGAGCGTTCTCCAGCTTCTCTAAGTGTTTCACCACGCGGTCGGCATCGTGGTTCCCATAGCCTGTCTCCACGTCCCTTAGATGAGGTATTTTACATTTTGGCGATCATGTTCTGGCTTCTATATTCGTTATTTTTAGGTGTTACCTGATCGTATTTCATCCATTACTGTTTGCAGGATTAATGAACTACTGCATCAGAAACATGCTGTTTGTTTTTAAGGGGGAGCTTGGAAGTCGTGTCTGATGCTTTTGGTAGCACTGAACTGTTTTAAAGGTTATGCATTTCCTCTAATGTTACTGTATGCTTCTCGTTTGTTGGGTATTTCAAGAAACTTTTCAGTCAGTTGTGTGGTGGATGTTGCTAGCATGTAGCATCTTTTTTCAAGACACAGTATGTACTTTCTTTTCTTATTACTTATCTATAGTCATGCTTGTTGGTTATATTATGATTAAGCATCTAACTTATGATGTCATGTATCCTGCACTAGTTATTGTACGAGGAGTGAATTGTAGTAGCTGATTGTCCGCAGACAGCAACATGATGCAAATGAATGAACTTGCTGATGCTGTTTGTCCTTGATCATGGGATGATGATTACGGTTGGTGGTGGTGGTGGTTATGATGATGCTGGTGATCATGATGATTGCTGATGATTTTCCATTCGTTGGTGATGATGATGTTGATGTTGGTGATGATGTTGTTGTTGTTGGTGACATTCAATTTGATGATTGTTTCAGTGTTTATAAGGTTCTCTTCCCGATGTGAGACCAAGCAAAATGCACAATGGTGATCCGGTAAGTGGTAAGGATTGTTTTTAATAGTCTAAGCTGTTTGATGAATAGTTTTTAGTTGACTTTGCTCCGACAGTTGGTATTTTGTTTTGCAAGCTTCTTAGTATTTGTAGCCATGATAGCCATGCAATCCTTCCTGATCTACTCTAGAGTCCTATGATGCCGATGTTTCAACATATCACTCTATTACATATGATGCTGGTTGGTCAGGAGCTAGTGGCTTCAACTACTTGCCAGCAGTAAAAGGTGAAATTATCAATTAGCCATTGATGTTTCAGTTATTAGTTTATAGGTGAATATAGTTTTGGGTTAGTTGCAGATAGATCCCTTGTAGTCTGATGTTTTGTAATTGCTGCCCCGCTAGTTTTATTGTTACAGATATACCTTCCAAGTGAAACTGTTTTTACTCTTTTACCCTCAGAGAAAGAAAAATTCCATTTTTGACCAATAGATCGCCTGTGGTAAAACAGTCAAAAAAATTCACTCAATAAAACTAGAGGGATAGTACGTTAAAAACAATAATACTACAGGGTATCTATCCTCAATTAACCCTATGTTTTTCTGTATCATTTTTTTGTCTTCGTAGTAATTTTTGTAGGTCTGACACATGGGCATCTTAAAAATGGTCAACATGTCCTGCTTAGTTGTAGCTCCTGACCTGTGTTAATTTGCATCTGAAGAGCAAAATAACTTGTTGCAGCCATGCTAGGTTTATTATCTCAGGTTTCCCCTTAGCATCATTATGTTGTGAGTTTTTAGGATTTTAATTTGAACTTTGTATCTTTCAACATGTGATAATGCTGCAAGAGCTGTGGCTGCAGTGTGGTAGATTGGCAAAATATAGTGGAAACCCACCTGTTCGCTGCAGGATGCCGCTACTCTTCTTTGTGGCTGTAGAGGATTTTGTAAGAGTTGCAGTTGCATAAGGACCTTTGTGGGAAAACATAATAAAGAGTTGCAGTTCCAGTTGCATAAGGTCCTTTGTGGTAAAATATTTACTTTCGGTATAATCCATCACTTATTGCCCGTTGGTAGCACTTTTGCTCGAGTTTCAGAATATGCTTTGTTAAGATATTCTCTCCCATAGTTTGTATTTTTGGTTTTTGATAATACAATCTGAAAGTTGACTTGCCCTGGCCGAGCACGAGGGGGAAGCAGGCACAGTATAGTTCTTTGTTGGTTGTAAAGGAATTGATTGGTGACTTGATTGTGTATAATTATCGTTTGAGCTATTACTAATGAGAGTTCTATGGAGAATAAGAGTTGTGTTAAGTGATGTTAGCTGAAGTGAGAATCTGGAGGAAGGTATCTTGGGGAAGAATGAAGACCAATTAACAGCCTTTTTTGACTTTTTTGTCTTCCTACATGCTGCAACAATAGACCTTTGATGTTTGTTTAGTGTTCCTCTATTGACTGTGATAAGGTTTGCTTGTTTGATATTGTATCCTTGTTTATTGGCAACGGATTGGAGTTGGGTTATAGGAAGCAGCCCCTGGGCTGAGCGCTCACTGGCTTCTGCAAGAAAAGATAACGTACCTGCTAAAGGTCAAACAGTCTGCATGTTGAGCGCGCTTTTCATGGGTAGAAATTATCTAGGTTGTTCTACATGGTATTATTTGGTTGGTGATTGAAACATATACAATTTCAAGCTAGCACTTGTCTTTTACTAGTATGTTATTGAATCTTATTATTGCTGAGTAACCAAGAGCTTTCAACACACACTCAAACCATGCACAGCATCATAGAGTTGCATTTACCTCTGTGCGTTGCGTGCGTGTGCCTGTGTTTTGCTAATAGTGATCAAGCTTGCTGTAGATTGATTGTTGATCCTTTGTGGGTGACGAAGTGTTAAGGGAACGTAGATGTCTTAAAAGTCTGTAAAGACGTACATAGAAGTTTGGTTAGAAATCTAATGTTTGATTCAAGGCAAAACCCTATGAATTTTTGATCTTTTATTGAATTCCGATACTGAATCATCTACTAGAGCTTGTTGTTGCAGATAGCCCCTGATTGGGGCGATGTCCTGCTATTATTGCTATTTAATGTACGTAAAACATTAATATTAAATGATTAATCTGGTTGCGATAAAAAAAAAATCTGGTTATGATTGTGTACCATGCTAACATAATAAGAAATGTAATTTTTCCAGATATTCGAGTACAGCATTTTATACTCATGTATCTATGACAAGAAATAAAGGTTGTGTGCATCTGAAGATCCGTACACCACTGTAATTAGAATTCATCAGAAGTCCCTACACCTAGCTTGGAGTTAAATAGATATGACATAAACGACACTAGTGTTCTGGGTGAGGATGAAGCACACTTAGCCCTTCAATTTCTACTTTGTGTTCCTATTTCAGTTTTTCTTCATCTCCTCCTCTTTAATCATCTAGATGGCTGACTTTTGTTCTCTCTTATATTTGTGTCAACGGTAAATGACGGCAAGGCCCTCTCTTCACCTTTACGGATGTTAGAGAGAAGAAAGTCATATATCTCTAGTATTGAGAAACTAGTCTTTCTATCTTCCAATTTTTGGATACATTTCGTATCCTGTTTTTTGTAAAACTTGTTATTTAATACATATGACGGGGTTTATCCCTTGTTTTTGCTCAAAAAAAATCTAGACGGTACACAAATTTGAGTAATTCTGTAATAAAAGAGTTACATACTAACGATAATGCGAACGATCAGAAAAAAAAAAGTTTGGACTAGTGAATATGTAGGCAACAGGACATCAGAGCAATCAGTACGTTATAGCCAGAAAAACGTCTTAACAATTGTTTTATGCTGCACGCGTTATAGCCAGGAAAACATCATAACAAGAATCCTCGAACTATCAACACGAAACACGAGAGAGATCTAGATATGCGTCAGCACGATTAATGAAAACTAGGTACAATGTCATCCCAGATTCCCAATTATAATCTGCATATGCAATAGAGTCGTCAAAGTGGTCTGCGGTAGTGAAGTCTCTGGGTAGAGGGATTATCTTCCAGGAGCTTTGCGATTTCATGATGAGAAGCGTTGAAGTCCTCCGATAACTTTGCATAAAAAGCACTATCATCATCATCAGCAGAAGCTAACTCGTGTTCATCATGGGTCCCATCCATCAACCGAGATATTGGCGAAACTATGCACGTCGATGGCGAAGTTTCAGCGGCAGGTAGTGCAAGGGCAGCTGCGGAAAGTTCAAAGTCGTCCAGAGATATCATGGGGTCAAATTCGGGGCATTGGAGATGATCCTCAAGGTAGTAGTTCGAATATGAAGCACCGTAATCAACAGCAGCAAGTGGTATCAGTGATGATGACGATGAAGTCTCACTATGGGCCCCTCCCGTTGACGATGATGGAGTTTCAGCTGCAGGAGGCGGGATGCCGTTTGCGGTAGATTCATAGTTTTCGAGGCACACCCTTTGTCTCTTCGCGCATCTTTCCTCCTCCTCCTCGCCTCCCTCTCCCTCCCCTAACTCTTTCTTCTTGTAGATCTTACAGAACACCAGCTTATCCTGAATCTCACTCCGAAACCCCAACACCGATTCATCAACGCGGTACTTGTTAGAATTGGGGGTGGAAACCAAACCTCCGACGGCGGAGGAGCTCCGACGAGCTCCGACGAGCTCGAGAATGGCGGAGATGACGCAGGCGAAGTCGACGAACGCACACTTCGGCGAACGCACACGTCGACGAACGCAATCCTTCAACAAACGCAAACCTTCGGCGAACGCACACTTCGGCGAACGCACCCCTCGACCTCTGCGTTCGAACCCCCCTCTCAACTCTGCGTTCGGCTCAGAGCTGGCGTCGAAGCGACCTCTGCGTTCGCTCGAGTTTGGCGTCGAAACCAAACCTCCGACGGCGGAGGAGCTCCGACGAGCTCCGACGAGCTCGAGAATGGCGGAGATGACGCAGGCGAAGTCGACGAACGCACACTTCGGCGAACGCACACGTCGACGAACGCAATCCTTCAACAAACGCAAACCTTCGGCGAACGCACACTTCGGCGAACGCACCCCTCGACCTCTGCGTTCGAACCCCCCTCTCAACTCTGCGTTCGGCTCAGAGCTGGCGTCGAAGCGACCTCTGCGTTCGCTCGAGTTTGGCGTCGAAGCGAACGCTGGCGACAGGCTGTCGCCAGCTCCTCCTCCTCATCCGCCTATAAAAGAAACCCCATCCCTAGGGTTTCGGTTGCTGAGCTTCCCCCCCTTTCTTCCGATTCTTTCTCTCTGGCGGCGGCGGCGAACTGCCCTAAAACGCAGCAGCGTTTTCCCCAAATCGCAGTAGCGATTTCGTTTTTTTCTCCAGCTCTCAAAGGGGAATTTTGAGGGGAGATTAAAAAGAGAGATTAAGAAGAGAGAGAGGAATTAAAGTGGGGTTTATATTGTGGGGTATTTATTCTCAAGTGAGAATTGAAAGGGTTCATACCCTTTGATTATTAACACTGTAGCTACAGTGTTTATTTGAGAAATCCCAGTTTAGGGATCTGCTCCTAAAATTGTAATTTCTTGTTGGATTAATAAGAAATTTACTGTGTGGCTCCCGAGGACGTAGGCAGTTGCCGAACCTCGTAAATCTTGGTGTACTGTTCTCTATACCGCGTTTCCGTTGCATTAGGGGATTTAGGCGTTAAATTCCCAACAACTGGTATCAGAGCGTGAAACGATCTAGAGGAAGTCAGATTCAAGTGGGAGCCATGGCCGCAGATGAAGGGAAGGTGAGAATAGAGAAGTTTGATGGATCAGATTTCGGATTCTGGAAAATGCAGATAGAGGATTATCTGTATCAGAAAAATCTGTATCAACCACTATCGGGGAAGAAGCCGGATTCTATGAAGGAAGAAGAGTGGAACCTTCTAGATAGACAAGCCCTCGGAGTTATCAGATTGACGTTGACTCGCAATGTTGCGTTCAACATAGCAAAGGAGAAGACCACGGCAGGTCTTATGGCAGCACTCTCAAACATGTATGAGAAGCCATCAGCCGCGAACAAAGTTCATTTGATGCGGTGGTTATTCAATCTGAAAATGGCGGAAGGCGCGTCAGTAGCACAACACCTCAATGAACTTAATACGGTTACAACCCAATTGAGTTCAGTTGAGATTGAGTTTGATGAAGAAGTTCGGGCGTTGATATTGTTGTCTTCCCTACCAGAGAGTTGGAACGCTACAGTCACAGCTGTGAGTAGCTCGTCGGGAAACAGTAAGTTGAAGTTCGACGACGTTCGTGATTTGGTTCTCAGTGAGGAGATCCGACGGAGAGAAACGGGTGAAGCTACAACCTCTTCAGTATTGCATACAGAGTCAAGAGGTAGAAATTCAACCAGAAACGGACGAGGAAAATCAAACTTCAGAGGTAGATCAAAGGACAGGAGGTCCAAATCAAGGAATCCAAGCAACAGCTCGAAGGCTATCGAGTGTTGGAATTGTGGAAAGACCGGGCATTACAAGAATCAGTGCAAGAGTGCACAGAAAGAGAAGGAGGCAAAGGCAGAGGTGAATGTCACATCCACTTCAGGAGGAGACGACGCATTGATATGCTCTTTGGAGAGCAAGGAGGAATCTTGGGTGTTAGATTCAGGAGCGTCGTTCCACGCTACTTCTCAGAAAGGATTCTTCGAGAAGTATACCCCCGGAAAACTTGGATATGTTTATCTTGGTGATGATCAACCGTGTGCTATAGAGGGCAAAGGCGTGGTGAAAATTAAGTTGAACGGGTCAGTATGGGAGCTGAAGGATGTCAGACATATTCCCGACCTGAGAAAGAATTTAATATCCGTAGGCCAGTTGGCTGGCGAAGGATACACCACAACCTTCCATGGAGATGATTGGAAGATCTCAAAGGGCGCAATGACAATTGCCCGAGGCAGAAAGACTGGTACCCTATATATGACAACAGGTGCACGTTATTTGATCTCAGTTGCAGCAGGCAATGAGACTTCAAAGCTGTGGCACCAGAGACTCGGTCATATGAGTGAGAAGGGGATGAAAATCATGCACACAAAGGGGAAACTCCCAGGACTGCAGTCAGTGGAGATGGATATGTGTGAAGAATGTATACTTGGAAAGCAGAAGAGAGTCAGCTTTCAGACAACCCTAGGAAAGAGAAGCTAGAGCTCGTTCACTCAGATGTGTG